CCCAGTAGCGAGAGTTCGGGTATTTTTCTCAACCAACTCGGTCTTAAACGGGGAAAGTAAGGAGAGGTTACCAGCTCTGAACATATTAATATGCATCTTATCTTATATTTGCTCTTGTGGAGCAGTTTATATTGTTCCAACAAGTCGGTACCTATCCTAAAGAATAAGGGAACACTTCCCGACATGGCAGAGAAAATGTGGAGTCGGGAGCATAAACAGCACTATTCTGGAGCACATGGTTGATTCCGAATATCATGTGGTTCCCAAAGATGCCTTGCAAGTGAGTTATAAGGTCCTATTAAACTAACCCAATTCTCTGGGTCAGCGTTGGCTAACAATAGCAGAATCTACCACTATCCCGTTGACGAAGCCGTGTGGCGGACGGCCACAACGCCTGTCCCTACCTTCGTTCTGCAATGCCCCAACGTCACTTGTCTTTGCACGCGGCTGTTCGCACTTGCTGAACTGAAGACCACTTGATCGATATTCATTCACCCACACACGTGATCCATACCCGCACACACAAGCACGTATTCGCGCGCAAGCTAGTCGTGGTTTCTCAAGTGCCACTCGAACACGCCAGGCCGCGGCCACGCAGCAGGGGCCTTTGTAGGCAACATCCACTCGGGCAATTGCAACATACCAATGACAGAACACTTGAACTCGCTTCACAGTCGTGTAAAAGCAACTTTCATCACCCCACACAACACACAGTCGGTTCTCTCAGGTTTGGCTGGACGCCGTCTACACTATCCCTGGCTTCGCCAGTGGCCACTGCCACCTGAGAAAGCAATTGGGAATGCTTTACACAATAAACCACTCCTTCTGGTGCCCTCTGCCTTGTAACTTAAAACCTAGGATTTGGCCTGATGATTGTAGTGATCCGAGTACAAACACTACTTAGACCTCTACAGCCGTTCTTGTGCGCAAAAAAGAACCTCCTGTAAGTTCCGTGCTTGGTAAGGCCAGCAGTCACTTAACTCTAAACACTTTTGTACTCTTTGTCTTTCTCCTCTCCCCTCTCCCTGGTCCGGCCTAAAAAATCTGCATTGCCGCGTATCTAGTCGCCTCATATTGACGCCCAACTCCCTCACCTATTCCCATGACCCATTTGCATGTAATGACGAGCAATATTGACTGCATGTTTGCCTTTGAATTCCTTACCATATAAATCTAATGTCTTGATTAAAGCTTACGTATGTGCTCCGACTACTCTTGTGAATTCCCTGATGGATATTTTTGCAACTATCAAACTTTATCGCATGTCTGTCCTTCCCCTTTGGTTCTTTGGGCATAGGCAGGACGCTTATGAATTAAATATCCTCCTAATTGGCTGCTCGCACACAACGAGGTAGACGTTCGAATGTTACCCTAATAGCAAGTAGAGCTCTACGAGAGCTCTACGAGATCTCTATGAGAGCTGTACAGTGTGTCTACAAGTCTACAAAACAGAGCTCTATTAGAGCTTAACATGAACCCTGTGTAGAGTTCTATTAGAGCTCTACATTGGGTCTACAGTGAAGACCTCATATTTTCAGCCGGACAGGGGGTACCTCCTTTGTCGCGAAATCCTCCCTTTTTTCGAAACGCGGTAGTAGAGTACTTTTTTGAAGGCGTGTAATATTAGGAAATATTTATTATGTATTAAAAATAGCAAAAAATATCATACAGTAAAAATGGTAGTTGCCCTAGAAAAATTTCACAGTTCCACAGCATGCTGTGTACTGTTCAGTAAGGTGAAGTGTGTGAAGCCGCCGCCACCTGATGACCCAGGCCCCTCGTCGTCGTTGGGATTGTCGTCTGCAGGAAAGAAAGATAATAGCAAAGTTATGTAGTATAAATCACTGGTGCAGACTTTAGTCTAATCGCATGGTAAATGAAATTGTCGATTGAACTCACCATGGTTCCGAGGCCGTCTGGGTATGATATACCGCTTGCGGTTTATTCTATTATAGGCCTTCCTGAAGGCTCTCTGAAATGCGCGCTTTAGGTCTCCACTGTCGCCGTTATTTGCCGTGCACCACGCGACGCCAACCGCTGCGTTCGGAAAGGTGAAAAGGGAATACATGATAGCTTACCTGTTAAAACGGTGTAAAGGTCGGACTTTTCGAATGCCCTCTTAGGAGTATCGACGTACGCGCCGGTGAAAGTCACGGTGGCGGTTACGGAATCGGCGAACAGGGCCTTGAATACCTATCCGTCATTACGTAGATCGTAGGACCACACAAGGCACTTAAGTGGTTAATCTGATAAAGGGTGTTATCAGAAAATTATGACATACAAGCTGGCGGCGGAAAGTCCCCTCCGAAATCCTCGACTGCAGCTGATCAAACTCGGTCAAGTTAGTAACAAGAGTTAGAACAACAGTTTCACATGCAAGGGTACTGGGAGGCTGGACAGTGGATGTGTTTACGGCTTTCCATAGCAATCGCCTTTCTTCATTAAAACTGCGACTCATACTGACGAGGAAATCCGTCAAGAGCTTGCAGAAGTTTCCGGATAATTGGTAGCTTTTTTGCTATAGTCACGGGTCGACTTTTGCGAACGACGTCCGCGTTTCCTTCGAGGTGGCCGGGTGCCTTTAAACGATATAATTGTGTATCGAGTGCTTACCAGCTGAGGTCGACGGCGTAGATGACCTTGCAATAGGCATGGTTATATTACTCTCTGTGCTGTCGCTAGTGGACTCCTGAGAGATGTTAAATTAGGCATACCTCCAATCCCACGCATATGAGGAGTGGGGTTATTCAGGGTAGCGTGCCTGGCCCGCTCTTATTTAGTCTCTGTGTTACCGATGTTACTGATATTTCTCAGTATTGTAGGCCATTTATGATCGCTAACGAATTAAAAGTTGCCTATCGGCAGATGGCAACATTGTAATGGAGCTCTTGAAAAGGATATTCAGGCCTTTGCCCGGTGGTGTGGCACATGGCACCTTTCCTTTTCTTGGAACAAATAGTCAGTTGTGGTTGTGGTGATGTCTATCAGCCTCAACTAAGGATAGACGGTCGCGACGTAAATGCGTCTGGAGGTGATATGATGAAGAAGTGGATCCAACAAAGCAAAGGGAGACCGGAATGG